GTGTGTGTGTATGTGTGTGTGTGTGTGTGTGTGTGTGTGTGTGATGGACTGGCATTCCGTCCAGGCTGTACCCATACCTCATGCTACCTGAGATATGCCCCAGACCCCTTCCGATCACTCTTTCCATAATAAATAGTTGTAACATACTGTAGAACAACTGCTTTGTACCCACGTACATTCAGGCCGTGTATGTCTAACAACTTTAATACTAAGGCAAAGGCACAGAAAGGATGTAAACAGTAGGTTTGATTTTTTTATTTGTATTAAAAAGGCTCTTCATCATTTGTACTCAGTCATCCCATAATGTCAAAGCCTCTTCATTTCACTCGGGCACATGACATTTACTGAACTGCTGGGAATGTACCGCAGTGGAAACACAAGGAGGAAGGAGGACAGGTGCAACCTTTGGAGAAGAGCAGGAGTGTGGGCCGTGGCCGCCACAGACATCAGGCGCCTCTACGGAAAATGAAACTGGATAAGCTAATAACAAAGGCAGGTTGTCGCACAGACAGGCAACGACCTTTAGCTTGGCTGCTGTTTTCCTGGCCCCACGTGGCTGCTGTGTCCCCCTGAAGAGATGTTCCTCTGAGTGGACTGTTATCTTTAAAGCCTTCCAGCATATCACCTGTGACAGGGGACAGATCCCCTTCCTGGATGCGTCAGAAGGGCCTCTGTGCCCGAAAGAGGTGTGTGTCGAAACCCCATTTCGGTTATGAACTTACGGTGGTTTTGTCGGAAGGAGATGGACCCATCTGCAACTGCGAGGCAGCCTGGGCTGGGTTCATGACGACGGGCGATCTCTCCATCAACGCCGGCCGAGGCAGTAGCCGGTCGAAATGACAGCCAGTTAATAGGAGAAATTGCAGCGCCTGGTGCAGTGGGGTGACTGTAATTAGAGGAAGCCATCTCTTTCTCCTTGTAGCCTCCATTTTCCAGTTGGCAGGGCTGGGGAGATGCAGTGTGATAGCTCTGCCTTGAGGGGGCATACATAAGCAAGATGCCTCCTGCTACTATTCAGAAATCTCTCCCTAATTTTCAAAATACACCATATTGGATGCAGCCTCTGACACGGCTGCTGGGGTATTTGCAGCCTCTGACACGGCCGCTGGGGTATTTGCAGCCTCTGACATGGCCGCTGGGGTATTTGCAGCCTCTGACATGGCCGCTGGGGTATTTGCAGCCTCTGACAT